TATTTTATGGAGATCCTACCATTGCCATTCTTCCAAATCAAATTGCAATCTAGCGTTTTATCCCTGGAATGAGATCTCATGTGCGCTACTACACTAGCAAATTCCGAAGTTGAGCGCGGTTTCGTTGACTTACCAAAGGTGCATAAACTACCGGTTCTCTTTAATTGCCTTTTGCATGGTTATGTTTTCCTTTTCATTTTGCATTTTAGCGTACGATCATGGTTATATTCGCAGTATGGACGATTTGGTTGGCTTTTGTTGTGCATGAGCATGGTCACTTTCCTTTCAACTCCTCGAGTACGTTGTGATTTTACGAAAGATCCCACCCTCTCATATTTATTTCAATTGCAGATTCGCAGAAAGTTCAAATACCATTTATTGGTTCTCAGTCTACCTTGGAAGCGGCTCCACCGCAGTGGCAAATGTGGAGCGAGCGAACATTCAAATGGTATCCAGTACAAATTCCCCCTTAATGATTCAGAACGGTTAAACTTCGCTTTTCAAAGGTGGCCCGCGCTGTTCGCCGAATTCAACATGAGTTTGACTGGTAGCTACATCACTTTCTTACCACCTATCATATTAAAAACAACGGTGAGATTCTTTTTTAGCAGTGTGTTTGATCTGTCGAAAAACTATGCTATTTTTTATTTCCACTTTAGGTTAATGCGTCTGACCCTCTTCTCTACCCCAAATTGTCGATGAGTGGTTCTCATTCTAAACCGATGCAGCCTCAGCTGGAGTCCGACAGCCGTAGCGCACTCAAGTAATATTTTTTTTCGAAGATTCTAAAGTTATTTATCGTGGTTTTGTCTAACGAGCATTAGCATTATTTGAGCATATTTTGCACTTTCAGATCTCGTATTTCATGGCTGGAAGCGCAACTGCGATTTTACTTGGCGGTGGTTTGGTTAATGTTGTTGATGTGCGTGATCGCCTTCATTTTGTATGTGTGTTTCTGGGGACGTTGGCGAACCGATCGCATTCGGAAGAAGGTATTTCGCAACGAATTTCACCATTTCTGCTTGCATTATTATGTGTTGCTACAGTAATTGTTTGAGTTGTATACCACCCTTTGAGCATCTCGTTGTTTTTCTAGGAGGCTGCCTTAGTGTCTCCGAAATCCGCTTCACCTCGTGGTAGCATTATCGAGACAAGTGGTGCCTCGAAATCGATGGTGGAATCGGTAAGCTCTGGAAATTTCTGAAACCTGGCTAATGCATTATTCATAGAGAATGCTGTAGAAATTGGTCCTGCAGCGATTATGTAGGTGATAAAAAAAGAGAGCTAGGAGAAGGGCTTGAATCCAGGGTTGCTTCTCTACGTGCATTGGAGCAGCGATCACGTTAGGGATAATGAATGACTTTTGCTGTATGTTCGGTGCAGACGGTTACACAGGTATCCGTTGGGCGAAATTCGAAAACGGGGATCGTATTGAAGAGATAGTGCCAAAGCATTTTTTTTTTGAGAAACTTAAGTATGAGAAGAATTTCAAGGTTCTTTTGGCTATTTCTACCAGTTTAGCTTTTGAGAAATATCCTAACAGCATGCTTGGCATGTGTAAAAGCGGGATCTTGCGACATTTTCAGTGGAAGTACTTGCTAGGGAAACATTTCTGGAGAAGTGGATATAGGGACGCCTTGATTTTCCGAATTCAAGCATAGGCAAGTCTCCAGAAAGACCTTAGAGCTTGTTTTTCCAGCTTATTTTGTCAATTTTCTGGCATCAGTTGCTGTGCATGGATGAAGTATGGTAAACTTAATATGTCCGCTGTGTATGGGTGTATTGGTTCGGGTTGAGATAAACAAATTTTCTGGCATTGATGCGGCTGTCGAGTTCCCTTCTCTTGTTAAAAATGAGGTCAAATTCAATTTCCAAGTTTCTCCCACAAAAGTTTTGAGTGATGTGAGCGTGCTCAACCTTTCATCAAAGTTGTAGAAGCGCTCGAATGCGTGTTTTAATATCGCAGCGATCTTCAGATATTCCACCTAGTGTGAATATTTCACTTCCTCCCGAGTTCAAGATACAACCCACGATGAGTTTAGGTGGATAAATCCTCTATGGAAAGAGCTGTTCTTTTGATTCGCAGATGCCCGTTTCCCGGCTCTTAAGTGCGCAAAGAGGGTCCTAAAGTCTTGCAAGGACCGCTTTTACCACTTCCATTTTCCCACTCCGTCAGTATCTGTTGTCTCAACGGCTTACTCATTACCGTGGTATATCTTTCGCGCTCTCTCTCATCTTCTCTAGTCTGCTTATTCCTCATTTGTCTCCAGCGCAGAGTGCAACGTCTTTTATATAGTGTTTTTCTACGTGAGTGTTTTCGCATTTTCTTCACTGCTGGCCCACTTCGCACCAAAGTTTTCATTTTCGTGTCCTGTAATCACACCAATTTTATCCTGGTTCGTGCCTTTGAACGGTTTCGGAGAGAAGATGATCTGGTGGCTCACGGCGGTATTTGATTTATCACTCGTGATTCCTGCGCATGAACCTGAGTGTGTCCTCGAAGTCAGATTGAGATATTAATGGATGTAAAGAAGGAGGAAGATCTTCCCTACGAGAAAAGAGGAAGAGTCTCCTGAAGAAGAGGTAGAGCCACCTACGAAGAGCCTTCTACAGAGAAAGGCTGGTTCCTTAGAGGAGCGAAACTGCGGCACTTTTGCGGGAAGGGGCGCCCTCGTTGTGGCAACGTAGCAGTGCTCTGAACGTCACTCTTAACGCTCTCATGCGCCTCGGCCCGCCTTCGGATTGAGTTGCCCTACAGCTGATCGCACCCTCGGATCCCTAATTCCTCCTGCAGAGAGGCAGAGTAATGCTTTCACATTGATGACGGCAATCATTGTAGAATCTTGTGCAGCCACGGAAATCAATGATCATAGAAGGGATCTCGTTTCACGGTTTCAACACGTTTCGCGATCTTCTTTCAGAAAAAGTATCTCCATATCAATCCGCGCCTGTCCGAATCATTCTTGAAAATTGGCGCAGAAAGAGCAGAATTTTTGCTATTATTCTTCTGCACTCTGCCAACATCCACTTATGCTGCTATAGCAAAGCCATTGTTTTTTAGCTACATAGAATCGTCCTTGTTTTTTTAGCTGCCGATAGTATTCTCTGGACATCGTTTTCCGATCGAAAGCTGTGCCATGTGCAACCAATCACGGCTCATTACCTGCTGTCAAGAAGGGAAGGTCTGCCTGTGGAATATAGAATCTGGTAAGATTTTTTATATCTGTCGATATTGGTTTTTGATATTGATGTTAGCGATAGCCCTTATTCCTCTTTTGAGTGATAGTTTTATTTTTCACGAAGTTGTTTGGTTTTGAATCAAACTCTTATACAGTCGATATCCGAAAGTTGGGGTAGGCGTGTCACCGGAAGTGACGTGCACTTGATAGAAGTTGCGTGGATAAGCTGTTGCCAGCATGCTTTGCTGATATCCAGCGATGTATGTTGGAAGCAGCTTATCCACATAGTTCTATCAAGTGCACGTCACTTCCGGTGACACGCCTACCCCAACTCACGGATATCGAGTATAGTTGAACCCCTGAATGATCTCATGGATTTTCTTCTAAGTGTTGGTGGGTCACCAAAAACAGCTTTCCTTCCACACAAGCCTGGAAGAATGTTCGGAATGCAGTTTAGGGGGCTGTTCTTTGTAGTAGAACCACCTTCTGGGCGACAAGAAAAGGTGCATGTTGTCATGTTTTATTACCTGCAGTTTTTGCCGCATGACTGTCACCTTATCACAAGCAAGGCGAAAACAATAGTCAACAAAGCAAAAACTAACAGTGTTGATACCTACCAATGTTTTTAGTTCCATGAATCGTTGATGATGTTGGCTAACCTGTTCATCGCCTTACAAATGTGATAGCTCATAAGCTATAGCGAACACACCATTGAAACCTGAGCTGAACGCCGCGATCACGATAATTCCTGTGTCCATGGGTGGGCATAGGTGAGTAGAGGATACAGATTCGTCCAAGCACACGATAAATGACGTCTCCTTTGTGGAAGCCCCACAACCATCAGCACGATAAGGTGCCAACGAACTGGAGTACGTTGTAGAGACGAACCCCGGTGACTTTTTAGAGACGAACCCCGGTGACTTGATAAGGATGATACCGACAGCTTCCTTGATGTGATACTATTAGTATCGCTCGTCTACCACTTTGAATGCGTTTCACATCGCTCATAAAAAGATAAAAACAATTGGCGTTGAGTGAATCCTGTCTTGGGATGCGCCACGCATTCTAGTTCCATTCAAGAATCGTAGCTATTTGCGGCGATGTTGCCATGACTACATACAATACAATGACTTGCGGAGGCCGGCCGATGTACAA